CAGTGAAAGGCCAACAAAACACTGTGGGCTATTTGTGCTTGCTAATGATAATTCTGATTAGTTTAATTCTGTCAGCTGACTCCCTGGCAGCCAAGGGCCAACAGCAGCCTGCTTATTCAATCAGGGCCTGGCCCATTTTCTAATTATCAGCATCATTTGGGCTGTTTCCTCCAACAGGGAACTTGCTTGAGTTCAAGTTATCTTCAGCTGTTGCATTTACATGAGTAATGGATGATCTGTCACGTCTGTGTCTGTGTCAGTGTGCCAGGCTCCCCCTCCCTGCTGGAGACCAAGTGAAATGGCATGTGTTTGCTTGGGTTCCCAGGCTGCCGGCCACAGCGGCTGAACAGCAGGTCCCAATGGGAGCCATGAGGCAAGCTCTGGGGGTGGATGGATGTGATGGTCTTCACCAGGCTAGCCAAGGTGACCTCTTCCCAGCTTCTGAATTCCAAACTGTATTCCCACTCAGAGGCCTGATAGGATGACCAACTGTCCTAGTTTGACAGAGACCAAGGGTTTTCCCAGGACACGAGAATTGCACTGCTAAAACAGGGAGGATTGGTTACCCTTTGTCTGACACACCAGGGCTCAAAAGCAGTGTGAGAGGATTCAAGATTTCCTGGGTGATCTATCTGGAATTTGGAACAGAGAATGACTGAGAGTTGAGGCCTCGTCTTTCTCTGTGAGGCCTAAAGCTTATGATGCATCCCTGCTCTCTTATTTTGCTTTTAATGTCTATTGCTAATCTGATAGGATGAAGCATTATTCCCAACATGGAAATGGGTAAGTGGAGGTCTGCAGGCATGTTCTGAGATAAGGGGAGTATTGAAGACAGTAACCAGTGTGTAACCCCTTTGAATGGAGGTGCATCATCCTTCAAGTACTGTCTCCAATTCAAATACATATTAAGGATTTATTAGGTACTAGGAACCCTAAGCAATGCAGGAATATGTCCTTTATATTCCCAGCCTTCAAAGCGTTGACAATCCCGTGGGAGTGACTGATACAAATACAATTAACTGCATCTGCTAGGAGTCTACCTAGGGAATCAATCACTAAGACAGAAAAGAGGTCATGGGAGCTAGGGAAGGGAGAATTCAGGAACATCCACCAACTACAGCCCAGCTACTGTTACAGTCATTATCTCACTTAGCTAACATTTCTTAAGCACTTACCATGTGATTAATCCATTTCCTTTTTATAACTCTTACTATTATACCCATTCTATGAATGAGGAAAATGAAGCTTTGAAAAGCTATATATCTTGCTCAAGGTTGCACGTTAGTAAATGCAGGGTCCAGGATTGGAACCCACAGTCTAAGACTTTTCTTAGGCACTGTATGATACTGACTCTCCTACCCCAGTGGGGTGCTAGATGGATCCCCAATACAACCTGTGTGGTAGATACTCAGTCCACATCAGACAAAAGCAACCAGAGATGTGTGGCTGTGCATGGTGGAGGCAAGGCAGAGGGAAACATGAGGTGGTGGTGGGGTCTCAGAGTTCCATACTGTGGAATCCCAAGGCATGACACCAAGAATGTCCCACCAGTGGCGTGGGAACTCTGGGAATGCCGATGTTCTAAGGGAAACTGGCTGGACAAATGCTGCCCTTCTGGCCCCAGCTGCATTTGATTCTAAAGAATGTACAACTAGAATGTGAAGCCAAATGCCTGATTCCTTTATCATCCTTTGAGGGCCAAAAATGGGTGACATTTATTATTTTATATTTTTCAGACTGTATTGTAAATGTCTTGAGAGCATAGATTTTTTACGCACATAGAATATCTGAGCAACTAGAGTTGCATATATAGAGTATCCATATATGCAAATCAAATAAAAATGTGTTGACTTGAGATGCTATGCCTGATTTGAATATGTGCACTGTAATAGTATTAGCAGTTAGGTATCCCAGCACTGTCAACTGTTGAAATGGTCATTTCAGCAATAGCAATCCACAAGCCATAAACGATCTACTCTTAATGGACACTGCATGTGCTAAGTATTCAGAGCCTGATAGTGTATGATTAGCCTCAGAAACATTCTTAATGTCTATTTCTATTCCTTTATAGGTTTTGGTTAGTGTAAAACAAATAGGTAAGTTCTGACAATTAAGCATTTAAAAAGTATAAATATTTACAAGCATTAAAATTAATTTCCCTGTAATTATAATTAACACACAAATGTAGGAAATATACTATTGCAAGCAAGATTTAAAGAAATATAAACTTCTGGGGAATAAAACCTGGTACCTTTCTTGCTCACTTAAACTGTTAAAAATTTCTGGTTAACCTAATTTTATCCCAGTCCCTCAAAGAGTCTCATGTCTAGGATATTGACATGTTTGAGGCCATTCTGTGATTCTGAGACTTCAAGTTAGTTCCTGGCACTGCCTTGGAGCCCTTTCTTCAATTATAGAAAATAACTGCGTTTTCTGACAGCAAAGAAAGCCTTTCTCTACTTGATAACTTACACTCAGCTTTTTCCTAGAATGTTGTCTTTATGCTTTCAGGCATAAAGGAGAAATTGACTTTCAGCTCTATCTTGGTGTTTCTGATCCCTTAGCTCAGTGAAACTGGAAGTGTGAGTGCTTCCACAGCCTCTTCCGTCTTGTGGGCCTTTGGAGAAGTTATTTTGCATAGACCTGAACATTACTATAGAAGAGAACCGAACTGAAACCATCTAGGAGATCGCAGCAGTTTCTTCTGGCTCTTCATTTACATGGCCCTTGTCCATCTTTCCTCTGTCCTTGACATTTTCTGAAATTAGCTTTATCAATTGTTTCTAGTCTTAACTCCCTTGAGCTGTTTGCACAACCTTATCTTCCCATAGTGGCTGTTTACCCAAAACAGCCTTTATAAAACCCAGCCATCAATGAATTGTAGCTTCTTTCCATACTATTTGTCCAACTGCATTTAGAGACAACTCGGTTCCTACCTCAGAGCCTTCTAGAGATCTCTCGTGCAAGAAAATGAAGAAAACAGGCTCTTTTTAAAGTAAATATGTGAGACATCTCAAGTGTACCCCAAAAAGTCTTGCTTTGTTCCAGGACTACTGAGTAATGCAAATATATATATATATATATATAGTATTTTATATATATAGTATAATATATATAGTATTATATATATATATATTTGCCATATATTCTCATAACACAATAATAAATTTCAAGGTGAAAAACACTAAAGGTGATATGTGAAATTCACCATCTTCTTTGCCAGGTACAGGTACTGTACTGTATTAAACATATCTCTTATTTTTTATGTTTTGATTCTTTAACATCAAAGTGGCCTTGTTGATCCTGGAGGGACTGCCCCTCCCAGAGCTAGCCAATTCCTAGGGATGGTAAACAATTTGCCCTCAAGCTGTTTACACAACAACCAATGCAAACCAATCCTGCAGAGCCTGCACCCCAAATACTTCCTCCATCAGGGTCTCGCACTAACCACCCCAGGGCCAGGTATCAGATAACTAGGAATAACCCCTAGGCTCCAGGGATTATTCAAATTAGCCAACCCTAAACCTGCTTACTCTGTCTGGCCCATTCCTTCCCATGAAAACCACAGTGAGGGTCCTTGCCCATGCTTTCTCTGCTCCCTCGGTCTCCTGACTAACCCTGGTGCTTTCCCATCTGCTCTCTGGTGGCGTGGCATGGCTCTTTCTCTTGGGATGAGTATAACAAATTATCTTTTCAATGACAGTCATCTGATCTGTTAGCTTTACCATACCTAAATAATAATAAAACCTGGCCAGGTGTGGTGGCTCACACCTGTAATCCCAGCACTTTGGGAGAACAAGGGCGGAGAATTGCTTGAAGCCAGGAGTTTGAGACAAGCTTGGACAACATAGTGACATCCCATCTCTAAAAAAAAAAAAAAAGAAACCAGCCATGCCAGCCTATAGTCCCAGCTACTTGGGAGGCTGAGGTGGGAGGATTGCTTGAACCTAGGAGTTGAAGGTGAGCTATGGTGAGCTATGACCTTGCCATTGCACTCCAGACTGGGAGACAGAGTGAGACCCTGTCTCAAAGAAAAAATAAAAATAAAAATAATAAAACCCGTATTTTAAAATAGGTACATAAAGAGAAAGGGATACAGGGTGGCAAAAGAGGACAGCCTGGCTCTCGTACTCTGGTTGTTCAAATTAACTTGGATGAAATGTAGTTGCTCTGTCAGTTATATTTAGCAAAACAGCCACCTTGTATTATATGGGGGCATAATATAGTACTCAATAGAGCCACTAAAAAATCCTTTGATCAGAGTGTCTGCATTGAGATGCTGCATGGTACAAAAGATGATGAGGTTTTTAGGGGTCCTTGACTTCTGAAGCACAGATTGAGTGCCACTGGAAAGACAGCTTTTGAAGAAAATGAAAGTATTCCCCATTCACCTAAACAATAGCACTAAGGATTTAATCATATCAAATGTTCTCTATTCTAATATATCTCATTGAAACTGCAACACGGAAAACTCAGTGTGAAAAGCAAAGTCCCTGTGAGATTGTATTCTTATTTAGGGCTTTAACTTCTGTCACTACCTCTGGAGTAAAAGCTGCCCGAAGGCAGTTTTACCTGACTGTATGCCTAGCAGCTGGCACACAGTAGGTGCTAAATATTTATTTACCTACTGAAGAAATGTTTCTGATCATCTTTGATTAACAGAGTGGGAGATAATATATCAAAGATGTCCATTTAAGGAATTCAGTAAGTGGAAGAATGACTTTGGAGCTGAGAATTAAAGCTACTCCCTCTGATCCAAACTATTATATTCCCACTACATTCTGCTACCTCTTGGAGAGTAATCTCGGACACTTATTTGGTGACAGTGGACATCTTGGCATCTCCTGGTTGTTTGTTGACCACTAAACCCCATTCAATTCTGCAGCCCTCTGTTAACAGCTAGCCATCAGTGAGCATTTTCCAGGGATTGACAATGCACTATGACAAATGGCTGAGCTCCTGGGGTGACTTGGATACCATTATCGCATGGTGCCACTTACCAAAGGCTCGAGCTCCTTGCGGTCTATGAGGTTCATCTCTGTGACAAAGTAATAGAAATGTTTGTAGCAGGTGTTGACATGGGCCTCTGCACCCATCACAATGACCCGGTCGAAGTGGTGGATGTAGACGTGGACAAAGACCCGGAAAAGGCGGCACAGGATCTTCTTGCAGATCTGAAGGAAGTTCTTTGGGAAGGGAACACCTAGAGAAGAAAAAAAGAAGAAAGAATGAAACTACGACAGGAAAGTTCCTTTTCCTCTTTCCTCTAATATCAGAAAACTGTCTGAGGGCGAGGCTACAGGGAGACTGGCACCCCGTGTCACAGGAGTCATAGGGAGTGGGGGGTGGGGGTTGGTAGCAAACTAGAAAGCACCTTCTACCTCCTCATCAAGGGCAGCAGTTGCTGTGACTACAGCCAACAGTGGCCATATAGGGATGGAGGCCCCGTGTTATTAGAGCTTCTAATTTTTCAAGATAATTCAGAAATTTAAGAGTTATACGTGGACCTACTGCATTTTTAAAATATTAAGCAAGTAACTTGAAGTTTTAAAAAGTACCATTAGTCAAAATAAAACATCTCTCTAAGTTACACTGGGCTTGCAAGCTACCAGTTTGCAAAGTTTTTCCTGAGGTATACTGTTTCTGAGGTGGGCAAATTCAGTAACTTTCACAGATACTTTGCATCACACAGATTCCCCCTTTGTCTCTTTGAGGAAGGTAAGAGTTGGGAGGAAGTCTTGTTTTTCATAACACAGAAAGGGTGAGTGGTCATCGAAGTCACTCAGATTTCCCATCTGATGACCACTACTCCCAGCTCGGTCAAAGCAACAAACTGCAGGATCGCAAGCCCACTTCCTTTCTCCCTCTCAAACACTGCTTAAGCTGTTTTGTTATTTACGCTGTCCTTAAGTGGTGACATGTTGTAATGGGTTCCTAAGTTAAACAGACATTGTTTGAATTCTTACTCTGCCCCCCTTCCAGATGTATGACTGTGGGCAAGTTGTTTGACTTTTGGTTTCTCGTCCGTAAAAGAGTGGTCCTAATAAGGTCTTCCTTACATGGCTGGGAGGGTATTAACGTAAGATCCTCTTACAGTGCCTAGAATATAGTGAGAGCTTATTAAATGATAATGTCCTCCCTTTTCTCTGCAAGGTAAGGCCTGTTGTTATAAGGAAAAGAATTACTGGGCCGGACGCGGTGGCTCACCCCTGTAATCCCAGCACTTTGGGAGGCCAAGGCAGGCGGATTGCCTGAGGTCAGGAGTTCGAGACCAGTCTGGCCAACATGGTGAAACATTGTCTCTGCTAAAAATACAAAAAAAAATTAGCTGGGCATAGTGGCGTGCGCCTGTAATCTCAGCTACTTGGGAGGATGAGCCAGGAGAACTGCTTGAACCTGGGAGGTGGAGGTTGTAGTGAGCCGAGATCGTGCCACTGCATTCCAGCCTGGGCGTCTCAAAAAACAAAACAAAACAAAACAAAACAAAACAACAACAGAATTACCCTTGTCAAGGAAAGGTAGAAATGACCACTAGCCTTTCAGCAAAATTGTAGAGCTGTGCACAGTGCGTGCCCCAAGTCCCCAGGAAGCCTGGAATTTTGCTGTCCTTTCCTCCACAGAAACCTAGTGGCAGCTGTCTGGTGAGACACTGTAATGGGATCACTTGGGACCCCGGCACAGGAAGAGAAGGAACATGTCTGGCAGGTGGCAGTGACAAGATCTGCCTCCCTTGGGTCCCAGCACTGATACTGGTTTTTCTTTGAAACAAAGTGGCAACATATCAAATGAACCCAGGGAGAAGCTCTGGCGCTGCTTGGGAGCTGACTGCCTGGGCAACAGATGCTGGGATTTGGGGTTGAGGGCGAGGTAGAGCTGAGGAGAAGGTGGAGGGTAGCCGCACGCAGAGTTTATGGGCTGCTTTCTCAGTGGAGAGGGGCCTGCAGAACTGCTGCTGCCACGCTGGGGGCGGGTCTGGAGTCTTTCAAGCCTGAGTCCCAGAAGTGCTGGAATTCCCTCTAAGACAGGTATGTTTGCTTCACAAGGGGAGTCCTGTAACCCAGCTGGTGACAATGCCAGGAGGCTGACATATGTTATCTTCACAACATATCTGTGGAATAGGTTTTATTATTCTTATTAATGTTTCATAGATAAATAGCACTGAGGCTCTGCAGCATGAATTCTGTTGCTAAAGTGGTAGGGCTGAGATTTAAACCAAGTCAGCCTGACTCTAAAATCCAAAAAATGGGTATTACGGAGTACAACTCTCTCTCTTGCCAGGTTAGAAGAACCACTCGATCGTCAAACACAGTGAGACATCTAAAGGTTACTCTTCAGTGGCACAGAAACATAAATAAGCAAAAGAAAGAGGATGGGGACAGAAGGCAGAGAAGGGCAGAAAAATGTCCACAGCATCAGAAGCCACAACCAGAGGTAAGAAAAGGTCAGCTAACATACTCTGCTGCCCTCAACGAGAGTATGTTAGCTTTCTCTGCTCAGGCCTTAAGGCCACAGACCTGGGATTAACAGTAGTATTTACTGAGCTCTTACTATGTTTTAGGGACTGTGCCAAGCCCTTTATATGGATTAGCTGACTAGCCCTCAGAACAGGCCTTAAATTATTTCCATCTCACAGATAAAGAAATAGATTTGGGACAATTAAGTAGCTGCCCAAGGTCACCCAGCAGGGAAATAGTAGAGGAGGGATTGGGCCAGTTAGCCTGACTCCAAAGTCCACGAGCACTGCTCTGGGGCTCTGCACACACTTCTAAGCTCTGAGGTCCTTCCTTTCCGGGCAGCTCAAACTCCCTCAGGTATGCTCCCCCTTCTCCTCCCCTGGTTCCAGTCTCATGGAAGCTCACCAGATGCTGGGGGACACAGGGACTTACAGCTGTGCCAGTTTATCTGTGTGGTCCTTATAGCCAGCCCCTCTACCCTCCACACTGACTGCAGATAAGGCAAAGCTTTGGACACACTGCAGATGCTCATGGCAATTGCTGGCCCCCTTTAGATTGTCTCCAAGCAGCTCTGTTCTCCCCCATCTCTGCCTCTGCTCAGCTCAGAAATCTCGGCTGTGCCTTCCATTCCAAACCTGGTCTCTGACTTGTCTCTGGCCTTGAAGGGGGTTTGCCTCTTGCCTATCCATTTTGGGCTATGGCTTTAGAGTAGTTGGTTTGGAATCTGGAAGACCTAGTTTAAAACCCTAGCCCTACTTCCTACTAGCTACAACTTATGCAGCCTATGTAGCTAGTAAGTAGTAGGGCTAGGATTTTAAACTAGGTCTTTAGTTTAAAATCCAGTCGAGTCTTCATCACTCAACTTTATTATAAAACTAATACACAAATTTACTTTGTAAGGTTTTTATAATAGTATCTGTACTGTGCTTGGCACTCAATGGGAGCTTTGGGAGTAAGTTCGATTTCATTATTTCCCACTTGAACTCCTCGGGTAGGTGGGACTCCAGGCTCACAATCTCTTGGCTCTGGCTGCTAAGTCAGGCCCCACTCTTCCACCATTCCCTCCCTTGCATGTAATTCATTCTTCAAAAGCAAAAGCTGCGAACGGTTCAAGTCAAGACATGTTCAGCATGCACTGCAGTCACCCCAGGCCAACTCCAGACACTGCAAAGAGGCTGGGAGCCTAGGAAACCCCACTGGGTTCTCTGCTGAATCAGAGACAAAATCCAGCTCACAGGGAGTGGGGCAAAGAACAGGAAAGCTATATGCATTTGAAAAATTCTTATATTTATTGATGGTTCAGGGGCCAATTCTATAGTTTGTATACTATTTTCACCCTTTTCTCTTCTGCCTTACGGATGTCCAGATTTGTGTGTGTGTGTTTTAAATAAACCTTCTCAGAAGGTGGGACTTGGAAGAGGTTGTCCCTTCAGATGGAGAGACCTGGATGTCCGCCCCTTCTGCAGACTCTGGAACTTTCTCATTCTGTGTTACTGGCCTCATGGCAGCAAGATAAAACAAGATGCAGCTTGCTGACCCACTCCCTTTCCTGGCAGGCTCCAGAGAGCCACTTCATGAAAACTGATTGATTTGAGGTGGTTTTCTTTCTTTATGGTGCTGCAAAGAAGTATCCAATCTCCATTAAATAACTAAAAGAAAAGATAACCCCAAATGAAGGCTGATCTGTGTATGTGCAATGTCATTTAATCCCAGTGACACCCTGAGTAGTGGAATTATTATTTCAGTTTTTTGTTGTTGTTGTTTGAGAAGGAGTCTTGCACTTTCGCCCAGGCTGGAGTGCAGTGGCGCGATCTCGGCTCACTGCGAGCTCCGCCTCCCAGGTTCACGCCATTCTCCTGCCTCAGCCTCCCGAGTAGCTGGGACCACAGGCGCCTGCCACCATGCCTGGCTAATTTTTTGTATTTTTAGTAGAGACGGGCTTTCACCGTGTTAGCCAGGATGGTCTGGATCGCCTGACCTCGTGATCTGCCCGCCTCAGCCTCCCCAGTTGCTGGGATTACAGGCGTGAGCCACCATGCCCAGCCCATTTTTTTTTAATGAAAACTGAGGCTTAGCTCAGTTAAATCATTTGCCCCAGGCCACATGGGTAAAATGAGATAGAGATTTGGCTTCAAAACTCAGGCTTTTTCTTCAGCATCCTATAGGTTCTATGGTGTAAGGGAAGGTGAGGGATAAGAATACCATTTTATTTTAATTTATTCATCTTTTAAGGACAGAGTTTTACTCTACCCTGGCTGGAGTGCAATGTCACAACACAACTCACTGCAGCCTCAGCCTCTTGGGCCCAAGCAATCCTCCTGCCTCAGCCTTCCGAGTAGCTGAGAATACAGGCATGCGCCACCATGCCTGGCTAACTTTTGTAAATGTTTTTGTAGAGACAAGGTCTCACTATATTGCCCAGCCTGGTCTCAAACTCCTGGGCTCAAACAGTCCTCCCACCTCAGCCTCTCAAAGTGCTGGGGATTATAGGCGTAAGCTATCTTGTCCAGTCAAGAATACCATTTTATGACCTGCAATTAGCTTGCTTGTGAAAGGAGCTCAAAAAATACTTGTTTTAAAAGAATCCAGTTCAGCAGTTGGAAGAAAGGCAACTGGATCACCTCAAATGGACACTTCGCTAGCTACAACGGCAGCCTGGACCTGGGGAGCTGTGCATGGGTGGGTCGGAGCAAAGGGCAACCTGTGGTCTACATGGCACAACTGACCCAACATCAGGACCATAACCAAT